TTTTATTTTAAATTACTTTTTTAAATTAAATTGTAAATAATTGTGATAAAATCAATCTGTGATCAGACGGTGAATAAATAAATAATAAATATCCTAAAGTCAAATGAAACCATTTATACTTTTGTTAAACAAAAATACTCTTTACGTTATAAGAATGGTAGAATTCTCTTCCATTTTTATTGATATTTTGGTTTCTTTTGAATTTATCACAGATTTCCCTCCATATATGGTAAATAAACTACTGAATATTGCGCTTAATGAAGTAATAAAGTTTCAACTTAATTAAGTAATAAAAATGATAGATTTTTTTAATTAATTCGTTCAAATCGTGACACTGCCTGTGAAAATAAAAAGATATCAAAGATATCACTGAATTGAAGAACGTCTAGGTCCGCACAAAAGAGAATGAAAAATGTATAATGTGCTGAAGGCTGACTTGGATATGTCTCAAAAAGGTGAGCATTTTTAGACTTCGTTCATCAGCAAATATAGCGAATAATATAGAACGATGTCAAGCAAATCCTTTACATTTTCATGATTTTCAAGAATCTTATTGTAGATAATTTAAACTACCTAAAGAACTAGAGAAGATTAATAATAAACTCCAAAAGATACAATTTTTTCATTCATTTTATTGTGAATATTATTATTTTTTACAACCGAGCTCATAATTTAATAAGCCGATAGTGTAAACTTGGTTATCAACTGAACAAAGAATCCGTGATCAGATAGGATAAAAATGTCATTAAATGTCTTTTTAAACATGATAAAGCTCGTAATCAATTCTGTAATCCCAATTCCCATCATGACGGATGATTTTAGTATTGATTTGATTCTCATACCATACGTCAGTTTCCAAATGTTCATTTGCCCCCACAGATGGTATTTTGAACCAACACTTTTTTATTGCGGTTTTCGATCCCCGAACAAATATAGCTCAACGCCACTTATCCAACCCGTTTTTCCGCTTGCGCAAAACGTTCTAGATTCTCCTTTATATAATTTTTGACCGACTTTTGGAATTATTGGTATCTGGTTTCCACCACTGCCATTCTCAAATACAATCCATTTACCCCATGAAATGCCGAAGGTTATGAATGTGAAATCTCCATTCTTTGCAATAAACCTACCACAAAATGTATAGTCCTCACCTGTCAGGACAAACAAACAACAAAACCAACATTAAATAAAACCAACTATGGTAGAATTTTAAATTGAATAATAACGAACTAAACAAAAAGAAATGTTATATTTTCTAACAAAGTATCGATCGTATTTTTTTCTGTACATTAATGTACAATGTATACTATACGATGCAGAGTTACAAGAATATTGCTTGTGTAACATAAGTGCTACATTACGTTTTTCATCTGGATGGTCTTTCGCAGTTGCAGTTGTATTAGTTGAGCCGCATTGAACAATCTATAAGTTAAAAAGTAAAAAATATCAACTTTTACTTTTGGAGTGTTTTTGTTAATTACTGTCAGTATCACAAGTCATTGAAAATAAGAACAAAATATATTCAATAAGTGAGTGAAAAATGATTTTGTTATCTATTCTGAAGCTGTTGATGGAAGAGTGTAGTAAATTTGTACTTACAAAATATACGTGCAGCAAAATAAAAGTAAAACTAGAGATGAGCTTCATTTTGGTCGAATTTTGGTGTTCGAACTATTTCGAAAGCTTTGATGATTTCGTTGATCTGTGTCTCTTCTTTTATAGAGCTGAGCTAAGCACTTTTTCAAACAATTCGAATATATTCGTAATTTGAAAACCAAAATTCCAAATAAAAAAGACTTCTTTTCCACCCACTTTTTTTAATTTTAATTATATCATTGAAATTAATGAGAGTTTGCTATGAAAGAGACGGTATTAACTAGTACAAGCGTTTCACTCAACTCTAATTGGCCAATAATATAGTATTTAAGGCGTGCAATCATCCATTCGGTCATCAAATTATCAATTTACATATGGATAAAATACGGAGTTACGTGGATATGTAATGGAGTTGTGTTGATTTAGATGAGAACAGTTTTGAAGAACATGCGTACACATATACTGAAGGTTTACTTTTGTGTTATGTACTGTTTTTAGCTCCACATATTTCCACGTAGTATTTAATTTTTTGTCAAAAAATTTCTCTTTTTTTGGTACCGCCCCATAGTTTGATTTGTTTCACATGTATCCTATCTATTTGTTTTACACGTATCCCCTAAATGACAGTATATACAAAACCAGATGTATTGTGTCAATATTAAAATATTTTCGTACCAAAAAAGTGGTATATATATGGGACCGAAGACCAGGCAAAGACAGTTCAATTTGAAGAATAGTCTCAAGAAAGAAACTAAGAACTAAGCAAGATGATATTGTCTCGAAGCCTTTTCTTGCTCGCTCTGATCGTTCAGGTTGTCGTTTCTACGTAAGTATTTTTCCAAAATATATTAAGCAATAAAAAAAATTCATCCATGTTCCACGTCGGGCAATTCTATAGGCTGTTTAACATGTAAAAATTAAATCTACTGGACCTCTCGTGGAACTTTTAGGTTTGTCCGTATTCGCTCAATATTAAAAATACAATGAATAACGTCTTAAAGTTCCACGAGATAGTCGGCGAATTGGATGCCCGTTGATGTTAAATTTTGAAAGGACCGATTAAAATATCGCAGGGATTTGTGCCCCTTTTTAATTTTTCAAAAATTCGATAGGCAGCGTAGATGTAGTAATATCCTAGGATATTTCCTTCACAATCATAGAAAATGAAGAGATGATTTTAATGTGTCGATTAAAAAAAATCATTCGATCATTTTATTTTCTTTTGCGGAAAAAATATATATTTCATCATTTGTGCTTAAAATTAACAATAATTGCTAACAGCTAAGTTAATTTTATCTGTATTTGAGAATATAAAATAGTCCTAAATATTTTGTCCATTGAAATTATTGAAGAACAAAAAAAACAGTGAAATGATAAAATATATATTTTTTCCGCAAAATAAAATAAAATAATCGAATGATTTTTTTTAATCGACAAATTAAAATCATCTCTTCATTTTCTATGATTGTAAAGGAAATATCCTAGGATATTACTACATCTACGCTGCCTATCGAATTTTTGAAAAATTAAAAAGGGGCACTTTTTTATTCGGTCCTTTATTTGAAACACTATTTTCTCTTTTTTTATGATTATTCAATGTGTTATAGGCCAACCGACCACAACAAAAAGTAAGCTCAATTTGAATATCTACACTTCAGTTTAGCATGAATACAAATTCGTGAACTTTTTATATTTCAGGAAGAAAAGCGGCGAACATAAGCCAAAACATGTTCATAGTGGTGATGTACCAGCCAAGTAAGTATGATGCGTAAGTACAGATTTACATTTTGCAGTAACACATTACAATTGTAACGAAGCATTACAGTAACGTCATTACAATTGTAACGTTAGATTTTAAAATTACCAGTAATAGCTATTGCTATTCTTATAACGTTACTGGCAATGCTTCGTTACAATAATAATGTGTTACTCAACGCTACCGCTAATGTCAAAAATCTAACATTAATAATAAGACTTTTCAATACAACTTTAAGTTGGAAATATATTTACAACAGATGGCGTCTGTGTCTGCTCTAAGCTCATCATTGAAATTGTTCATCAACCCAATCAATTTCAATGCTGAGCTTAGAGCAGACAAAAAATCCATCTATTGTAAATATATTTTAAACTTAAAGTTGTGTTGAAAAGTCTCAATATAAATGTTAGATTTTTAACAATGCTATTGTCTCAAGACATTACCGGTATTAGCTATTGAAATTGTAATGTTAGATTTTAGCATTACATTAATAGCTATTATAATTTTATTAACTACTCAGAGAAATTGAACAGTGTAAACACAAATGTTTGTTGTTTATTTCGCCCATTTACACCGAATTACTCACACTACAATAAAAATGCTGTTAATTCGACATTTTACGCTGTGTGTGTATAACGTCAGTGCAAATCGTCATTTTACACTTTGATT